TCATGTTGGAAGTATTGATATTTTTTGAAAAAAAAAAGGTTGTGCTAACCTTGGCAGTGTATGTTACTTTGTGCATTCACCATTTAATGTGTTAAAAAAAAAAGTGTTCAACTGGACCGCTTGTGCTTACTTTTTACATACCTGTGGTAATAACCCTACACCAGACTCAAGGCCTGTGACCTAAGCATGTTTTTCGGGTCGAGTTTTACCGAGCCCCCCCAGCCGCAATTTGATGACAGTTTTACTTAACCCTCGCCGCCTCTGATCCTGCTTGTTGACCCTGCGGTTCGGGGGGCCGTTGACCTCATTTGCCGCTTTATGTACCTTCTGTCACGCGCCGACACCGCGCGTCACTCAGGCCTCCTTTGCTGCCCGAATATAAATAGTTGAATGTTGATTAATAACAATGCATGTTTGTATGATGGAGACTGGAATGCAGGTTTTCATACTAAAATGAATTTTATTTGGATTGCTAGAATTGAGTAGTTCTTTTTGTGTCATTTTTGGTTTTTAAGTCAATTTTTAAACTTTGGAATTGGCTGAAATTGTCTTGACCTCTCCGGCACCCCACCAAGTACTGTCAGGTACTTTGCTTGTTTATTTTGTTTTTAAGTCAATTTTTAAAATTTGGAATTGGCTGAAATTGTCTTGACCCCTCCGGCACCCCACCAAGTACTGTCAGGTACTTTGCTACATTGTTAGTACAAACCATTGCTGAGTAGAATAACAAAACAAAAATAAAAAAGTGCACAGAAAGTTATTGCCGTCTGAATGCGCTCTACCATTTTACTGTTTTTTTTTTTTAAATTAATGCCCATTCATTTGCAAAACATAGAGTAATAGGTTCCACACTTTAAATTAGGGGAAAAAAAATACTCTGTTGAGAATAGTCCCAATCTCATGATAGTCAAGTGGTCGTTTGCCAAGAAAAAAATGAATATGGGAAAATCATCTGTATTAAAGAAAACAAGGCATGCTTTCATTTTTTTAGTAGATTTTTCGATCATTCCTTTTGATCATACGTAAGCAATTGCACCAGAGAAGTCCATTCAATCCCTGTTTGCCTTTTTCCAACTCCAATATTTCAACCAATCTTAAGCTAAGCGTCCATGACGAGCTCCTGGAGTCCTATAAAATGTCACATGGAAGGCGAGGGTTATTTTCATTGTTTTTGTCATGACCTGCTCAGGTTACTGCAGTAAAATAAATGACCAGCAGGGACCGCTATGCTTCAAGTGAGTGTCGAGCCGGTGGGTGAAAAGAACCCCAATGCTCAGGACTCAGACTTCAATCATCAAATGATGAATCACTCCTAAAGTTCTGTATCCCATCACCGATAACAGACATGCTGGTTTCAAAAATATTTTTTTTTCAGTGATTTACTTTTAATTTATGTATTAATTAATATAGCGTAAAAGCAGATTTTACTTCACGTGTGGAAGGTCTCCCTCCAAATCCAGATTTTTTTCCCGGACAACAGACAGACTTTGTTTGGCGCGTCATGTGATCAGTGCCCCGGCGTGACGAAAGAGACGCCGAGTGACAGCTCCGCCGCCATGTTGCGTGAGACTGACTGGGCCTGTTCTCAGACTCTGTGTGGTCTGAGTGTGTGGTCTCCAGCTGACAGGCTAAGGGGAGGACGGGGAGAGCCCCTTCCATGAGTGCATTCGTGTGTGTGTGTTTACTTTATCCAGAGTCAGGCCCCGGGATCTCTGTGGCCACAGCTTGACGAGAAAGCCCGGCCTTCCGGCACTCACTGGGTTTCAGTGGAAATGGATAAACACTCCGCGCCATCGCCCCGACACGGCTCATCTTAAGATCGGTTTTATCTGTGTATACTTATGGGACCAATGAGACCTTCACGCGAGAGGGTCTTTAGGGGTTGGTTTGTTCTCTCTGAAAGTCAAGCCTCACTAAAAGCAATAGTTATATTGATCTTGCTAAGTGGTACAGTATTATACACGGCCAAGAATTCATTCTTTCGTACATTTTGTTCAGGGAAAGCTCCGCACAAAAACAGAACGTGATAGTTTTCTTTTTTTGGGATTTTTTTTTTTTTTTCGGGCTGTGTCATGTTCCCCGTCTCTAATTTGGTCTAAAATCTTGCAAAATATACAATTGTCTGCCAAGCTCAGTTCAATAAATTGGCCCTATGCGCTTTTGTTAAAGTTGGCCTCGTACTTCACATTGAGAGAGAAACAACACTGATACGCGCATGATTTTCAACAGCCGATCCAATGTTTAAAATGTGAGAGACGCCACTGGGGACGAGGAGAAAATTGACATTTGTGTTCTTACTGCTCTTAAACACAGCAAGCCACGCGTGACATCTGTCATAGTACCATGCAAAACTGACTGGCAGCAAGGTGCCACAGAGTTTCCTCTCTGCCAGGAAATACAAAGAACAAGAGACTTGCAAGAAGCTAGGCGAACTGTCAACTTATCTGGTCACTGAATTGTGGTTGAAAATAATTGTTTCTGTCATTTTTTTATTTTATTTTTTTTTTATTGTGGGGAATGACTTTTGTGGTAAATTAAACCAGTGGTGGGAAAATATTCCAAAACATGAAAAACTGGAATTGCAATATGCGATATGCTAATCTCATCCATGTTCCATATTGATTATTTCTATAAAGCAGGGGTGTCAAACTAATTTTTGTCGCGGGCCACATTGTAGTTACGGTTTGCCTTGGAGGGCCGTTATGACTGTCAATTTTGTGAAACCATATAAATGTTTAACCGCCTCCACATATTACACACACAGAGAGCAACAAAT